GTTACCATATAATATGCATTGAATATAACGTTTCAGGTCTGCAGTGGAGAAAGTAAAATAAGTACATTCTGTACAAAGTGTTCCATCACTTTCAACTGGATTCGCCCAGCTACATTGTATCGCCGACGTTCGTCATACGCCTCGTTGGCTCGCTCCTGCTATTTCGGAATCCCGCTCCCAACTGGGCCAAGTATTTTTTATGGATTTGCGTGAGCCATAAAAAGTGCGGCATGCAGCCAGAGGATGCACAAAGCCAACAATGTGCCACATTGTGCCACATTCGGCACGACATCTTCGCTGGCAAAAGAGGGGGGGCAAATATCTATTATGATATATTTCGATTCCAACGATCTCCGCTTGACAGCTAGCAGCTTAATTTATGGGCCTGAACCCCGCTGGGCATTAAGATGTTGCCATGGCGCACTAATCAATAATCACCGCTTAGTGGTTCGAACTTGAGGACAGGTTGGCCATCGATCGTGTCATTTAACCCGCCGCGACAATGGCTCCGCCTCAACGTGTTAATCTCCGTCGCCCTGATCACCGATTTCCACACATACACATCTATCTGCTGGCGCTGGCATGCGGAAAAACTATATTCGAGTATCGAAATTCGCGGACAAAAGGTAAAAATCATTTGACCAACAAAGAGATTCGGGAAGTTCGAGTTTATACTATTTGCTATACGCAATAATTAAGTTGGGCTATCTACAATTAGCACATCCTGCACTTCTGACTGTTACCATCTACAACCTAGAACGAGTAATTCAGAGCTACGTCATAACAGTGATAATAAATATTCTTTCGCACTGGCTTCAGTTTTTACTGTGTTCAAAGCTCAAGTCGATTTGAGTTGATAAGAAATACTGTATTAACTTTGCCAGGCAATAAATTATACCAAGGTTGTCCAGCAACTGATCAAGAAAATTTTTGGCGGTCATTCCCCTCGTTGGGTTGTGTTAATCCTAATAGGTAAGGATTTTGGTTTAGTATTATGAAGAGGGGTAGGGTGACTTGTTTCCAAAAGAGAAGAATTCTTTTGAAGTACTTGGATGCACAAACCAATGAGATGGCTTCTTCTCAAAAGTTAGACAACTCCTGAACAGCTAGGGCAAAAGGAAGAAACCGAAATCCAGTAGCCAGAAGAAATCCAACGCCATGAACTAAGAGCCAAACTTAGACCACAGATAGTATGAGCCACAGAGCCCAGTAAAATCCCTTCTCTGAGAATGTAAACAAGTGCCGGTGTAAACAAGTGGGGAGTGACAAGCCTTTCGGACATTCGGTGATCAATCAGACATTTCGGCGGTAACCCTACCCCTCTAGAACCCCTCCCCCCTGAGGGTGGCCGCCCCTGCGCACAGCGGAACTTGTAGCTGTCATTGCCATTGTCGTCGTGTGGGTTCTAACTCGGTTTTGGGCTTGGCATTGAACACTTACACGATAGATAAATCAAGTGACTGGACGCTGTAAGCCGTGAGCTAAGAGCTAAGAGCTATGAGCCATAAGCCGTTGGACAATGCGAGGGCTGATCGATGGCTTCTGGTGGTGATTAACTCCTGGCCCTGATCTTACCCAATACTTATTTGGCATTAGCTCATCATCAGGCATTTCCGATTCTCGGCGCCCAAAGTGCAGTTTTTAGATTATGAGTCGCAATTGCGGGGACCCCTCTCCCCGGATTTCCCCCGGGATCTCCCATCGAGATCCCGTCAGTCGGACGATCGATCGATCAGTATGCAAATTCAGCTTTTAATTTCGCCTTTTTGCGTCGAACGCTTCTCCGTCTCATGCGACACTATTTCAATTTGTGTCTAATTATTGCCACAAAGTCATTCGCCATCGCTGTTTTTGCATTGAGCTCTGGAGGGGGCTGGTCGCTAGTGACTAACTGAGAAGGGTCATAAAGTAAATGTAGCCATCCCGAAAAACACTGCTATCTGCGCAGTATACTCAACAATCAACTTGCTCTGTGTTTTTCCGTAGTATTTTCCTCTATGAAATTCGATAGCATTTTTAAAGTTACAGATATAAAAAAGCACTTTGCTTTTAGGCATTTAGGATATTATTCGGCGAACGGCGAGTTTATAAAGATTCAGATTAGCCAAAATAAGAGATATTTTAGTAGTCTATCAACCATCACACTTCTTATGAATTTTTTACACTACAGGGTGTCGAGATCGGGTTTGTGATTCACCTACTTGGGTATGGGTGTGCGGCTGCTGCTGGGTATCAATGGGGCGACCCTGCCACCTAGACTCTCTAAATTGTTGTTAAGATGATTTTTTATGGGTTTCGTTAGTTAGCAATGATTAATTTTTATTTGCATATATATATGCAAAGAGTGCACAGCAATTGCTATTGAAATTGCTGTGCCCACCCTGTAGCTGCGGACAGAAAAGCTGTGCCCACCCTGTAGCTGCGGACAGAAAAGATGCACTCGCCGTCCGGAGGGCTAGAACACATGTAGTATTATTCCACGAGGTATTTTCCTGGTCGAGTCAGTTCACTAGACCAATTTGTTGTTGCTTTACATAACAAGTTTTAGCATTTAATTAAAGCAAAATTTAAGCTGTGAATGCGACTGCAAGCAACAATTACTGACAATTCGAATTGACTAGCAGGGGGTGAGGTGGACGATGGGTGGTTGTTCGGGGACGAAGCGAAGGGTTAGTGCTGTTGTTTGCCGCTTGCTGGCCCCCACCCACATAGGCGCACATTTAGGCTTCTCCCACTGCATTTGTAAAAGTGCGAACAGGCGCACAGCAGCAGCAGATCCGTCGCTTGTAATCTTCGCACTCTGTTGCCCACTCGGTGTGGGGTAGCTACAGCAGCGGTCAAATCAGGAGCAGCTCTGGACTATGTCAAACAAATACCAGCACAGCTTTGCCTGACAATACGCTTATTTGGTGTGGGTTCGTCTCTTGCTTCAAGAATTAAACTTATTTTTAACATTGTTTTGTCAATTTATAACTAACAAAAACCCTATAATAGAATGGCATATATGCATTAGAAAAAAAACATATTTTTTTGCCAAAGCTAATATCTTTTCAAAAAATAAATATTGACGACTCTTCTCACCTGGCCTCTGTTGTGTCTGTGTGTGCTTGAATAAGCTTTCTGTGTGCACTTTCTTTGGGGCAATTTTTGGCACGCTTCGGGCGTCGCAGCTGCAGCAATTCCATACGCCACAGCCCCCTTGTAAATCCACCTCCCACCGCCAGTGTGCCCGCCTGCGTCGCTTGCCGCTTTTTAATGCTCATTTTATTCCTTTATAAATTCGCTATTAGATGCCAACAGCGGCGACGGCGACATAGAACTTTTCTGTGTTTGAATACTTGTATTTTTTGAAGTTGTTGTTGCCCCAGTGGGTTCTGTTATTGCTATTGTTGGTGGGGCTGTTTTGCTTCTATTTGAGCAAACTGACCAATCAATGGGCAGATGACGCGATCGGCGACGAATGGGGTCTGTGCATGATGCGAGTCAGGGTCTATTTTTAGACCCCACTGTACATTCACTGGGTACGAAGATGAACGAGTCGATACGAAGCGACACGAAGCTTTCGCTTTTCGTCGCTCTTTCGGCTGTCGCGTGGAAACGTGAGTGGGACAAACAAACTATGCGGGAACGAAACGGAATGAAACACAGCCGGTTGTTATCGCGCTCTCACTCACTCTCTCTTTGCTTGCACCGCATCGAGCATTTGTTATTGTTTTCGTGCGTCTTGTAGCCGGCTTTTTTGCCGGTGTTTCAATTCCACTTAACACCCAAATACTCCCCTCTCTTTACATTGGTGATTGATTCTTTACCAACTCCTTTTGAATCTCATCCTTTTCGGCTTTTTCTGCTACTCCTTTGCCCTAGTATAGTTTTGTCATGTCCACGGTAACAGCCTGCTTTTCGCTGCCTTTTTCATGCACCGTTAACTGATAACCCAGAACGGATAACGGATAATTCCTTATCGTTGTTCGTGAGTTTTGGTCGTTGTTATTGGCTCTTATACAATGTTTCATTACTTTTGGAATATTATTTACCAAAATACATAGGTACATATCCATACATACATATATCTAATGGGACAATATTAGCTATTGCCGCTCAGTCGGTTGCGCATGCTGACTAAATTAAAAAAAAAGAGAGGGAGAGCAATTGAACATAAAAAACATTTTCAAGGTCACGCCGACTTTGCTGCATTTGGAGTGAGAATGCGTGTGTGCAGCGGTCGATTCCCAGCGTCCCGCCGGAAAGAGGGGCTCGTTGGAACTCTGGAAGCAACTGGAACACGTTAAAACGGGTGGCATGGGAGGTGGTGGGTCACAAGATTCGCTGGCGAATTCGACAACCTAAATATAACATGAATATTTAAAAGCGACCAGGGTTGAAGGTTAATTTTTTTTTCTCATCTTCAAATCACTAGATAATCGATAGTCTCCCAGATTAAGTTTTAATCTTGATCCTGATTTTTTTGTTATGCAAATGTTTCTACCTATCGAAAACTTAAGTTTCTGGGTAACTTTTTCTGGCGTTTGCTTTTGACTTTGCTTCCACCAGAAAGTTAAAATGCTTCAAAGCGATGAACAGCCACACACACAACGCTCGATTTTTTAATGTCTATGTTGCCGTCTCGATTCCACTTCCACCACTACTTCCATAGATCAGTGGCGTCTCAGAAAGGGGCCGCCCCCTAATCAATACGACTTCGCGCAGATTAAGTTTTATTTCTTCTTTTCTCAAAATTGTATATAAAATGTATACTACTCTAAATATTTTGCGGGTTTTTTTCTGTGCTAAGGTTTTATCAAAAAACAACTTTTTATACTACCTAAAATATGTTTCGCTGTTAATTTCAACATAAGTATATGAGTGTGGCGACGCCCCTGGGCGATGTTTGTGGTGCGTTTGTTTATTTGTTTGCCCGGCCCATTCCCAATCGTTCCTTCGGGCGGTCGGGTTCGTTGGCGGTTGGCGGTGGGGACTTCATTGCCTTGCGTGTACCGGACTCGAACGCAACGCCGTCGCCGCCGCTACACCGCATAACCAACCAACCAATCCACCCTGTTCCGGTTCGCCCCTCCCTTCCCCTGATTTCAGTCGACCGACTACAACCACTGGCGTTCTTATTAGATTTTATGGCGGTCCGACATAGAACAGAAAAAACGACGACCGCGCCTTTGGCCGTTCCATTACGCGTTGTTCCCCAGCCCGTTTGCCATCCGTTTCGTTCTCGCGCCGTTAGAATCGCACGCTGCCGCAGTCGCAGTCGCTGCTGGCATCGCTGCCGCTGGCTGACTTATTGGCTTTAAGCGAATTTGAACGTCGCTCGAACTTTTATTCAACGTGTTGGTTCCATCGTGTGAGCAACTCTGAAACGCTAAACATTCGCAGCGGAAACGGAAAACCGAAATATAAACTTAGAAAATCACACAAACCGAAAATACAACCCCCTCTTAAAAAACAAAACCCGTAAAAACTCGTGATATGCAATTGATAAATACCAGCTTCACTCAAAAGTATAGGAATCCTTATCAAACGTCAAAGATCTAACACTATTTTTTTGAAGTGTTCAACCCACAAAGTGCTTTTAACAACAACAACTACCAAAATGCCTTACAAGAGCGTCACGCTTTAGTGTCAAGTGTTTTATTCCCCACCCTTTTCGCAAAATACCTATTTGAAACTGAAAAAAAGACGTCGAGGTGTTGACCTGCCGAAAGGCCAACGAAACACACCGGAGACAATCAGCAGCAGGTGGGCAGAGCTCCTCTTTTGGAGAGCGAGATTTCCCAATAGGTAAGGTTTTTCCATATGCCCGCCCCACCCCAATACACTGCTTGACCCTTCTTAAAAATTACGTGACTTTGTTCACACGTTGCTGCACAAACAGTATTGTAATCTAAGCGCGAATTCACAATGCCTCCTGTTTCCTAAACGGTATTACCATATCTTGTGACCGGGAAAGTACCCACAATTCAGGGAACAGCAACCAAAAGGTCCACAGTTCCACTTTCGTAACGTTCGTGTTGAACAAAGTCGATAACTAGTCGGTGAATACTGAAGTACTCCCATATCTTTTTGGATTTCGCATTTCTTGAATGCAGAAAACGCTTTCATTGACAGTTCTGTCGACAAACAAAGTGAATACGTGTGAAGTACTCACTTCTAGTAGACTTACTCATTTCCTAATAGGCACACTTAAAGACCATCCATTGATTGAACTTTCAGGAAACCTAAGTTTGTAATGAATTGTAGATAAGAAGCATGATTTATTCATTTTTGTTTCATTGATTTATGAATTTCCCAGCTAAGGAATCGTATTCATGTTGAGAGGAAGATTAGATACACAGATACTTGTATAGATACAGAGATACAAATACATCGGTGCGCCTATTGCCAACTTGTCATCGAAGAAGGCACACAGACACTGAGGTTAACAGGTGTTTTGCTTCTTTCGCTCGCTCGTTGGCTTCACTAATCAGCTGCTGCAGGCACACATACATTCACACAAGGCACGAGCACGAGCACTCACAGATACTAAATGCCATAGATACGGATACACATAACACCATTGCCAATTGGATTTATGGACAATTCAGCGAAACTTTTCGCCGTTCTTGGGTCTCTTTTAAAATGCATTCATTAATAAATATTTTTATGTTCAACCCCGGGCCCTACAACAACTATAACACACCCTCGTGAACTAGCAGCAACCCCCTTGGAATTCAGGCTACGGAGGCCAAAGGACTTATCCCGAATCGCGTTGCCCGTTGCGCATTTTATCGCCATCGAATTTATGGCGGAGAATTGCGGAAAGTGCCCCACCCCACTCCATGCCCACCCCAACCCTCCTCTGCTCCCCCAGGATAAAGGGCGGGGGGCTGCCCCTGCGTAAAGTGTACAGTCTGCACAATGTACATGCTCTGTACCCCAGAACTCTTTGCGAGTGGCAGTGAATGAGCGATGAATGATGCCCATTGTTGGCAGACCACAACAACAACCGACAGACAAACGAAGACGCAGTAGTTACAGTTACTGTCGACAGGGGAGGGACTTCCAGGGGCTAGGCTGAATCGGGGGTTCCGAGGGGTCTAATGTACCAAAAAAAAAAAAAAAAAAAAAAAAAAAAAACGACCCCCGAGATGTTTGGGACATGTGTGCGCACTGAGAAAAACTTTTGTCGTAAACTTTTCAAAGTGATGTGGATAAAAGCTTAACTTTAATAAAATGTGATGTAAATAACTGAAAGAGTTATTAATATTGTGGCTCAAACTCGATGATGGAACTATGAAATCACAGCTGTTTTTCCAAGTGTCTGAGATCCACTTCTGTTTACAAGAAGAAAAAAAAACAGCTGGAAAGACAGTCGGCTAACGCCCAAATGGCGTTTGAAGCACATAGTGCGCATTAATGAGCCCGCACTGGAGCTGGAAGTATGGGAGTTGGGGTTAGTTTATGGCCTTGACAGGCAACGATACTACTAAGACCCCTCAGGCAAGCAGCCAACCATATAGCATACACCACCGACCAACGAACCGTCCCAATCCCAATATTCAACTAGTCATTCGCTGCCATCCCCGCATACGAAATCCATTCGATGCGATGTGGAGATGGCTGTCAAAAGTTGCGGCGGACGACACAAAACTGGCAGGCATTTTCGTGAATAATTTCCACAAAAATATGTGCGACGTATGAGTGCAAGCCCACAGCAATGAAAATTGTCACCATAAGCAAGTACAAATACGTAAACCCCCTTTTTTCACTGTGTGTCAACGTACACTGCATGCGGCAAATGTAAACATTTCAACAGATTTGACCAATACCACAAGGGGATGGGTGCTCAGGGGCTAGCCTGAGGTGTGGGCCTTGCATCAACAAGTAAGCCCCAGTGACTGTTGTCACGGCACCTACTGGTGCACCACTTGCATGGATATCGATAAAAAGGATGGACTTCTTTTAAAAATTATAATAAACCCACTAGAGAAAGGGTAAAAAAAACTTAAAACCCGCATTCGTTGGGTGGCAGACAACTTATTTCTTTCTAATCCTATCATGCAAATTGATTAACCAAGTGAAATTCGTATATACCCTATACCCAATACCTTCTAGCGATTCTCGTTTTCAATTCCAGACCCAATCGCAATTTGACGCCGGGTCGCCCACGCGCTTTCTTTTCTTGTTTGGTCAGTCGAATGTTTTAAAATTTTCGTATGCATTTGATCTGCTTGAAGAGAATTTTATTTATAAATATACTCCATTCCAAATGAGTGTTAGCTGTTTTTGGAAAAGGGGTTAGAGGGGATGGTTGGAGGAGGTTAGAGCTTGGCCAAAAGCCAAACCGGTTTGCCATTTGTCAACTTGTCGACAGTCGAAACTGCGAGGCCCGTAAAATCTTCACAAATAACAATTCTCTTTAACTGATACTGAAAAAGAATAAAGAGCCAAAAAAGTTACGAACAGGTTGTACCGTAGAATAGAATCTTACAATTATATGAACAAATTTCAGTATTGCATATATTTACTACCTATTGAATCTGCTAAAAATATTCCACAATAAGATATTAGCTAATTATAAATAGTAAAAATTAAACTACCAAATCTTTTGATCTTGTTAAGGATAGTTTTTGCGACGTTTGCTCGTCCATTCAAATTTCCATGCTTTATCATTCTCGTTTCTTTGCCTTCCCAAAAATGTTTGCGTATAACCTTTGCCCTAACCTCTCCTTGGCCCCCCCAATTATAGCTCCCCTTTACCCCTCCCAATTGCCCCTTAGCCCCCATCCCTATCTGAACATTTGTTTGTTGTTTGTTTTTATTGTTCAAAACTCATCACGAATTTTATTTTGCTGTGCGTTCTTATTGGCGTACATTTTGTTGTTGTTTTTTTTTTTTTTTTGTAAAATGTTTTTTGTTAATTTTTTTTTTTCGTTTCGTGCGCGCTGCTTTCGACGTCGACGTCGCTTTTTGGCTAACCTTGAGGCACATTAAATTTGTTTTTGGCTTTACGGGTGCTTTTTGATTCTGTTTCTCATTCTGGTGTTGTTGTTGTTTTAGCTGCTTATTTTCCGACGATAATAAAAGTAAAAAGTAAAAGCAACAAGAAGAACAGCAGTTACTTGGAGTTGAAACAGCTAAATAAAAAGTGGGGATTCTAAATAAATGTGTGTGACCAACCGTATGTAACATTCATGTGTACGTTCACCACTCAAAAGGGTAAATACAGTTGCGGTCACTCTAATAGTTTTGTTATTCCCGTGTACTTATGTACGATTCTTTACAATAAATAGCAATACAAACCCAGTTTGAGTACAGAGCTTGGAAAATTTTGAGATGAGTACCAGAAAAATAAATAAAATAAGTACGCCCGATAGAGTGAATAAGTAAACTTCCTAATTAGCATATTTTATCCATTTCTATAGTGATAATAGGACTGGCAACAAGATTGAAAACTTTAAAGCACTCGATTTTTGGTCTTGGTGTTACGATAACCTCCTAAAAATATATTCGCGAATTTGAGGGCTAAGAGTATTATTCATATTTTGTTCGGAAAACAAAGAACGAAAACCTTTTTTCGTATAGTGCCTTGTTAAGCTTTAGTGCTAACCATTTGGGCGCATCTGTATTGGGGATTTTCTATGGAGGCACCGCCAGGCAGGCAGTGAAATACAAAAATTTAATGTGCGGTCGGTTTTGCCTCTCCACTGTTTTTCTTCTTCATGTTTTTCGGTTTAATTGTCGAATTTTCGTTTCGTTTTATATTTAATTTCGTATTTCTTTCCTTTTTGCTGAGCTTTTCGGGCAGTTTCTCGCGTTCTACGTCTAGCATGTTTCTTCTATATATCATTATTCGTCGTTGTTGTTCCAAAAATTACTTAATTGCAGCCATATGTGAGACTCTTTCCCCGGCCCGACTTCCCCGATTTTGGCTAAACTGGAAATGTGTCGTCGCTGGTTTTGTGTTCTGTATCTACGCATTTCTTGGCAGACTGTATCTGTATCTTTGTAGCCGAGGGTGTGTATCTAATTCTAATTTATTTTTGCCAAAAAATAATGGGGGACCCGAAGCGAACGCCAAGTTCTCTATATATGTATATATTTTCTTTCTTATGCGCTGTAGCTTTTATTATTTATTTATTTATGCACTGCCTTTTATTTTATTTTTTTTTTCACTTTGTCATTTTTTTTTTGTTCTATTCTATACGCTTTTTTATATGCTGATCAATAAATTATGTTTGGTTGACATGCCACCCTCTTTAAGGCAAACCCCTCGAAACACACGCACTCCGCATCTCTTTGTATCACCCTTGCCATCTACAGGCCTCGCTCGTTACAGTGAACTTAGAAACGAAGGGTGCTTGAGTAAATAGGATTCCTGATATGTTTTAACCACAATTTCAAGCAGCTTCCTCTTACACGACAATAAAAACAAAAATTAAACAATTTTCAATATTGCCAAACAAAATTAAATTTTTTGTTTTTTTAAAAGGAATTTGGGAGACTTTTTTTTTGTCTCACTTTAAGTAATTTAAAATGCAGTCAGCTTTATGCTCTACTGCGTTTTAATGGTCCAAAACGTAGACAGAGCCGTTGTCAGAGGGGATGATCAAGAGGTCTAGTAGTTTCCCAAACTTTTGCTTTCATTGCACGCAGTTCGAAAAAGAAAAAATTCAAATAGAACTTGAATAGCTATCTATATATATATATATATATAGGATTTTCAAGGACAAGCCCATGCTGATTAACCCTTGGAGATCCCCTATCTTTAACTTCAATATTACTACACATATATATTTATC